AGAAGTGTGAAAGATGACTTGATTGAAGCAAAATCCTGAGGGGTCTCAACAGAGTGGATGTAGAAAGGATGTTTCTTTGTGGGAAAATCTGAAAGAGAAATTGCTATTGAAAATTAAGTGGGCAATCATTCAAGACCATTGAGATTTTCTTCTTTCAGAGAATCATGAGCCTTTGGATTTCTCTTCTTCAAAAATAGCATCTTTCAAAAATTTTTAATGCAAAGCGAGATGATAATTCTTGCTTATCAAGAGTCTGTCAGGGTAGGTGGAAATGTAGAATAATTAGATCAGCCTGGTCTAATTCTGGTTGAGCTGGTTTAAGGGAACAAGTGGTTAATACTGCTGCTTTTAATTCATAGGTTTTTTCTTCAAACCATTTTCTGTAAATATGAGATATGAGGCATAATTGAACTTAAGTGTCAAATTTTTATTGACTGGAAACCTTGCCATTAATCAACAGAAATGCAGCAGTTTGACAGGTCGATGAAGGTAGTGATACGAGATAAAACTCGGGACACACAGAACATTTGGTGGTTAGAAAGAAGGTGTTGGTCATTATCTCTCAGATACCAACAACATGCCATTTCCTCAACACTGTTGACACAATCCATGGCCTAACTTACTTAAGAATCCATCTTAATTGCCAGAGACAATATTTTGAAGAGCTCCTCAACCAAGACTCTTCAACTTTACTCCATTCATTGATGCCTTTTTTGCTCAGGTTGGCTGTGTTGTGATACAGTGCAAAGTTGCAAAAGCCATTAACAGTTTAAGAAAGCTCTGGAGCTGCTGGAATCCCTTTGGCTGCACCATGGAAACAGACGCCTGGAACAGCTGCATGATCTTGTCCATCATCTGGGAAAAAGGATGTCGGTTGAGGGATCTCCAGTGACACTGTGATCATGATCATATTCAGGAAGGGAGACAATCCGATTGTCGGAGCTACAGAGCAGTCTCCCCGATGTCTGCCACAAGGAACATTGTTGCAAGTTTCCCTCTCAACCTCCTCTTCCCAATGGCTGAGGAGCTCCTTCCACAATGTGGATTACACCCATTGTGAGGCAACATAAACATGATCTTCACTGCACAACTAATTCAAGAAAATGCCAAGAATTGGGACTAACCTTATTGTACATGGCTTTTTTCGACCTCACGAAAGTCTTTGTCTCTGTCAACTGTGAAGGCATCTGGAGTATTTGTTCATGTTGGGCTACTTTCAGAAATTTGTTACCATCTTCCGCCTACTCCCTGATGACATACAAGCCATGATCCTCACCAATAGAATCACCACAAACTCTATCTTACTGAAAATTGGTGTCAAATAAAGCAGTGTAATTTATCACAACAAAAAACACATTGCTGGAGAAACTCAACCAGCCTGCCAGTTCTGAAGAAGAGTCGCTGGACTTGAAACATTAACCCTGCTTTCTCTCCCCAGATGCTGCCAGAACTGCTGAATTTCTCCAGTAGTTTTTGTTTTTGTTTGATTTACAGCATCTGCAGTTCTTTGTTTTATTTTAGTGTGTTATTTATCAACTCGTTTATTTTGAGGTACTGAAACTCTCATTATCTACAGGCACAGATCTAGAATTTGATCTCCAGCAATGATGGTAAGAGTTTAACCTAAGTTGCTTTCAACCCAAAATTACTATTAGCTCTCATAGAGCTTCAAGTAGATGATGCTTGTGTGTACTCACCTAGAAACTGAACTCCAAGTCATTCTTGATTACTCCTCTCACATGTAAGAAATAAACTTTTCAATTAACATCCTGAAAAGTAAGGTCCTTCCGCCACTAGCTCCCACAGTAAAACATTTTCTCCGCCTCACCCATCCCATGGATTAAGAGCAATGGCAAAAACCTAGAAAATGTGGACCATTTTGTGTATGTCTTAGAAACCTCTTCTCAACAAAGGCAGATGTCAACCATGAAATTTTTCATTGCCTCAAGTATGAACTCAGTCTTCAGCCAACTGTTGAAAAGAACATTTGAGAGCAATGATCTCAAACCCAAGACAAAGATGATGGTTTACCAGACAGCAAGATGCCCGTGCTCCTATGTGCTTGAGAGTCTTGGACAACCTATAGCAGACACGTACAAAGCACCAGAAAAATATGAGCCGTATGTTCATAAAACCCTCAAACTAATGACAGTAAATATGGACCCAGCAAACTTTCCTAAGCTAACTTGCCTAGCATTGAGTTGTTAATCTCTCAAAATCAGTTCTATTAGACAATGTATGTCATATGTCTGACACAAAATTCTCAAAACAACTCCTCTGCTTTGAGCTTGGTTGTGACAGGCAACTCCTGGGAGGAGTATGGAAATGGTTTTGGGATGATCGCAAAGTACCCTTGAAGAGGTCATACATACCTCTCTACTAGTGGGAGACTCTGGCTTGTGACCAACCAAAATGGGAAAGACTCATTTGGGAAAGTATCAATCACATCAAGAAATTTTGTTGAGAGCATAGAAATGACGTCAAGGTTTCAGAGGAGTGCACAAACCACCAAACCAGCATTCAATACACTCCAAGTACCAACCACTTCCATATGTTGCTGAGTCTGCAGTTCCGATTTGGGACCTATTAGTCATCTCTGAACCCATCAAACCAGAGTGGATGTACGTTGTCCTCAAATCTCAAGAGACTGCCTAAGAAGTGTCATATAGTGTGTAATCATTGTGTTCAGTTTCTAGATTAAAAAATTGGGATTGTACATTGTGCCAAAGGGCTGCAGACACCTCTAAAATCTTTCTTAAGTACACTATTAGAAGAACACAAATGAATTTAGAGTTGACTTGTTAAAATATTAGATAAATGCATTTTTTATAGTGTGATTTCTCATGTTGGTTCCAATTCACGAGCACCATGTAACATTTGAACAGCTAACCTGTGCGTACTGTCATGGAGAAGCGGTCTAAATAAGCACTCCAGGAGAGTTGAAATCTTGACGGGAGATTTGAGAGATCTTGAGCTGCTTAGTTGGAGAAGCTAGGCTATTCTGGAAGATCCAAGAGTGCAGAAGGCCTGTGTTTCTTTTTCCTCTTTCAGTTTTTATGTGAAAGTCCAATGTCTGTTTTGTGCCTGACACTGTCAAGATCTTTACACAATTAGCTTATTATTGAAAGTGACAAACTATGGGACAAAACTGATCTAAATCTGCCAAGTTGAGGTACTGAGCACAGACTGTATTTGTTTGTAGTTAGATAAGTAATGACTCCTTTGTTTGAAAGTTTACAATGTTGAAAATGCATCTGTTTTATTACCAAATTTATGTTGTACTCTGGCAGTCAGTGAATTACTGCCGCATACGTAATTTACTGAATGCTGGTCATATTAATCTGTTTACAGCATGACCTCATCTCAATGAGCAGCCCGAATAAGGAAAGCCAAACACTATAGTTTTTCAGTGGAATATAGTCGCAGAGATTCAAGGCTAAAAGATCGTTTCATGAAGGGACTCACCTGGAGTACTATATCAGCCTTTCTGTAATCTATTTATTGTCTTGTGTGCTACTGAGTACTAGGCTGCTTTACATAGAATGACGTAATCTTAGGACAGAACCTTGAGTCTTTCCCTGTGGTGATTTTTGGAGTGAGGGAGGAGGTGTGACATTTAATTGAACAGTGTGTGGTATGTGGGACGTTGACACCTTTGTCTCCACTCTGAATAAGCCCATGGTGGGAAGAACCTTGCCACCCCACTGACAGTTGAGACCCTTATATGGGCAACTATTGCCCTTTGCCACTGATGTTAACCAATGGCAGGTAGGGGACTTGTTCTCTTTTGAGTTGCTGGACGTGATTGTAGACTGTCCCATTTAGCACAACTGTAGTGTCACACAATATGATGGAGTATATTTTCAGTTTGGAATGGGACTTTCTCTCCACAAAGTGTGTGCAATCGTCACTTCCAAAAGTCAAAGATTTTCCTACCTTCTAAGGTCCTGTGCTTTATCAATGACACAACCACAATTATACTTGCACCTTTTGAGATGTACAAAATGATCAGAGTGGACAACCAGATACTTTTTCCTAGGATGGAGGTAGCTATTTTGAGGGGGCATAGTTTTAAAGTGAGTGGCGGTAGATATAGTGGAGACGTCAGAGGTAGGTTCTTTACTCAGAGAGTGGTAGGGGCGTGGAATGCATTGCTGGAGCGGGTTGTGGAGTCGGCCTCATTAGGGGCATTTGAGCGACTATTAGATAGGCCTTTGGATGATAGTATAAGGTAGGGGTGGAGGTAGGATAGATCTTAGGCTTAGGGTAAAAGTTCAGCACAACATCGTGGGCTGAAGGGCCTGTACTGTGCTGTACTGTTCTGTTCTATTTTCTAATTAGTATGGTTTTCCTTCAAACATCAAACATCTACTCTCAGCACCAATTACTTAGTGAATGTAGAGGAGTTTGAATAGTCACTTCGCAAACAAATCTCCCTGCATGTTTTCCATGATTGACCAGACCATGCTTGCAGCTGTAGCCTCTATATCCTTGAAGGCTATATTTTTACACACCTGCTCGAACCAGGCCCTTAGCATATAAGGTAATATCTCAAATTGGGTTTTCTGACTGTGATGGCCTAGTGGTATTATCGGTGGACTGCTAATCCATAGACCCAGGTAATGTTCTGGGGACCTGGGTTTGAATCTTGCCATGGGAGATGGTGGAATTTGAATTCAATTATTAAAAACCTGGAATTAAGAGTCTAATGATGACAATGAATCCATTGTCAGGAAAAACCGAACTGGTTCACCAGTGTCCTTTATTATCTATATTGCCAGAGGATTTCCCAGCTCTTTGCACTTGAGAAACCAAAAATGTGATAAACAGCCACTGCCAGGCAGACTTATCATTTGACTTAGCATTATTAAAGCATGACATTCTCCTTTAAATGAAAATTTAGCCATCAGGCATTCAAAGGGACAATAGTTTAAGAATAGTACTAGTGATAATGGAAAATAGAGATTATCTTAACTTTTGAGAATTTGTTTGTATTACAGTGAGTCTATTAACGTTCCCATGATTCCTCTGGGCCTGAAGGAGACAAAAGAAGTTGAATTGTCGATGCCCCTGAAGGTTGGTAATTTTGTTATAATGAAATAATAGAGCCTTCAAAAGAAACATAAATGTATGAATATTTAACTTTTTATCTCGTGTTAAAGCTTTGCTGCAGTGGGTTATCAATTTCCTTCTCCCTAATTTCATTCAGTTCTATTGTGTTTAGATAGCAGGAAGTTCCTGATTTGATATAACTTCCTAAGCCGAAAATTCAGTGAAGTTGTTCATTTATATTGCAGATAAATGTTAGTATTGGTTGGTGGGGGAATGCTACCGCTGAGGTGGAAACACTGTAACCACTGTATTACTTAAAAAAAAAAAAAAAAAAAAATACCCTTCATCTCGTTGCATATGAGGTTGGAGGGGCGCACAAATTCCTTTCTAGTCCCATGCCACCTCTGGTCATAACAAATCTTAAAATTAACCAGAGCAGCAATATGACCAATTGTATAGGTTTTAGAATGAATCTGGTTTAGTACCAGAAATAATTCAGCCAGGTTTTTTTTAAGTGAATAAGGCATGATTAGTTTATAACATTTATTCAAACAAACCTGCTAAGATTATTGACCAGAAAGGCTTAGACTGTGTAAAGATAGATATAACTTGCATTTGAATATCCTAAAGTGAACACGAGGTAAATAGGAGTAATGGCCCATCTGATTTTAACATCACCTCTACGTTCCTGCATACCCTTGATCATTTTTTGCCCTTTTGGTCATCAAGAATCCATCATCCTCTGCCTTAAAAATATTCTTTCAAGTGCTGTTCAACCTGGAAGAATATTGATTCTTCCTACGATGCTGATCAATCGGCGGTGGTTACAGGTGATTTACAGTCAATACCTGATCTGATGGCATGGAATGTGGAATGAATGTTGAGGACTCGCAGGGCCACTTATCCTGACTGGAAAGCACAGTTGTGCCAATTCTGGTGGGTCTATCCTGCCAATGGGTCCCAATACCCATGTAAACTGATGAACAGCTCTGGACGTTTTGGGAAAAATATGATTTGTTGACTATGTCTTTGTTTGTTTCAGGCTGTTACTTGACAGGATGTTTTCCCCTTGTGGGGTAATCTACCACAAGACATTATAGTTTTGGGCTAAGGGGTGGCAGATTTAAAACATAGATGAGGGAAAATTACTTCTCCCAAAAGGTCATGAATCTGTGGCTCTGTGGGCACCCAGAGTACGGTACACACTCGATCACTGAATAAATTTAAGAGGAGATTATTAAGTCGTAATTGGTTTAAAGCGTTATGAGGATGGGAAGGAAAGTAGAGTTGAGGGCAACATGAAATCAGCCAAAACTGTATTAAAGGGTGGAGCAGGCTGAAGGAACTAAATTGCGTACTGCTCCTATTTAGAGTCATAGAGTAATATAGCATGAAAACAGACTCTTCTGTCCAACGAGTCCACACTAACTATGGTCCCAAACTAAACTAGTTCCATCTGCCTGCATTTGGCCCTTATCCCTTCAAACCTCTCCTATTCATGTACTTATTCCAAATGTCTTTTAACTGTACCTGCATCCACCATTTCCTCTGGCATTTCATTCCACACACTAATGACTGTTAAAATGTTGCCCCTCATGTCGTCTTTAAATCTTTCTCCTCCCATCTTAATATACCAGCTAGTTTTGAACTCCACCACCTTAGGGAAAACACCTTTGCCAGTCACTTTATCTGTGCCTGTCATGATTTGATAACCTTCTATAAGGACACCAGTAAACCCCCTACACTCCAAAACCATAAGTCCCAGCTATCTAGCCTATTTTCATAACTCAAACTCTCCATTCCTGGCAACATTCTGGTAAATCTTTTCTGAACCCTCTCCAGTTTGATAATATCCTTCCTATAACAGAACGACAGGAACTGCACAGTACTCTGAAAGAGGCCTCACCAACATCCTGTACAAGCTCAGCATGATGTCCCAACTCCTGTACTCAAAAAGGTCTGAACAATGAAGGCAAGGATGCTAAACACCTTTTTAACCACCCTGTCTACCTATGACATAAATTTCAAAGAATTATGTATTTGAATCCCTAGGTGTCTCTCTTCTACAACACTACCCAGGGCCCTACTATTAACTGTATAAGTCCTGCCCTTGTTTGTTTTAGCAAAATGCAATACTTTGCATTTATCCAAATTAAATTCCATCTGCAACTCCTCGACTTGATGGACAAGTTGTCTCCAATCTGAACAATGGTCTCCTCCCAGTCATTCTAAACACTTGCCCCCAGTAAATATGGTGGACATGCCTAAGGCCTGTTACTAGGAAGAAGCCTGGAGCTGGCATCACATTTGATACAAACAGGGCAACTGGAGGTTCTTAATCAGGGTTTTCAACCAACATAAAATGTCGCTGGAGCTGCTATATCCAACCACTGCCTGGTCTATCACATCCACTGATCCCACTGATCCTGACTGATGGTGAATCCAAGAAGCCAGAAACTGACTACCAGAAGCCTGGTGAAAAATGGAGACTGCACATGTGCTCTTTCTTATTCAGGTTTGGAAATGCAGTCCCAATTTTGGTGCAAGTATCCAGTTGTTGGTGAAAAGGACTTTGCAAGGCTAAGCTGTAAATTTCATAGTATCTCATCCAACTATCCACCATTGATTTCATTCTGTATGTGTGCTCTTGTTACCTTACCTTTCTGCATGTTACTTTCCAGCTGGAGTCCCAAACTATAAATCACAAGGGACATTTTGACCAGTTGTGTTACCCACCACTTGGATGAACATATTTAGTAATTTTTTGAGAAATCGGTTGTTGTCCATTATTTCCAAATATACGTAGAAATACTTTTTGACTAAGCTTCTAATAATTGTTCAAACTCCTCTGCTTCCTATTTTTGATAGGAAATTATTGAGGTACACTACAACGAAGCAGCCTGCAAGTATGAAAAGGAACTGAAGGAACTTGTGGATCTCCGGCAGGTTAGTTCTTTGATATTTAGGTGATGGTAATATGTTCCAGGGCAAGGAAAAATCTCAATTTTTCCAAAAGTAAAGTTTACTTTTGGCAAATAGCTTAAGGAAAGTAACTGCATTTTATGACAGTTACTTGAGTGGGAAACAAGGCTGCCTGGTTAGGGCATCGCTGTAGAATCACAGGAGAATACACTGGAGCAGAAGCAGAATGTCATGACACTTTGGTTTTCTGCTCCAAGTATAATATTAACAATGAGAACGCATTGCTGCTAGGACATAGCAGGAAGCCAATTGTGCTTGTTGACCAAGCAATTAAGGTTCTTCAGGAATTTGATTGCAATTTAATGTTACCCTTTTCAAATTAAGTGATTGTTGATCTCATTTCTTGTTGGCTTAAAGCTGGCAGTACCCAGACAAAACCTTAACTTCCTAAGTAGAAGTCAGCCATTTCAGAACTGCTGTCATTCTGAATTTGAACTTCAGAGGAAAGGAAAGGAGACCACTGTATCTGTGATTCTGGAGGCATCTGAACAGCTCAGCAGAAATAGCTTGTGTGACCACTGTAAGCTGAAGAGTATCTGATTGTGAGCATTGCATTCTCAGCAAGGTCAAGCATGGGTTTGGGGCCACTAGGTATAAGTGGATTGAGAAGATCTGGCACTTTGGGGAAGTTTCCTCCAAGAACATTGCACACAAAAATAGAATAGCAACAGTTGTGTAACTCATCCACTTGGACCTTCCGGAAAAATGCATAGAAGGAAGAAGTACGAGCGGTGTAACTGCAGAAGCAAGAGGACAAACTTCTACCCAGACAAGCTGCACAAGGACACTTAGTGGACCAACAGCATGAAATTTTCCCAAGATAGGGCCAACCAATTCCCAGAGTATTTCAGATAAGCTCTAATTTCTTCTGAAAGTCACAGCATTGGTGTTAGTGAAGACTGCAGCTGTCACATGAGTCCACCACCACTCAGTGCATGATGCTGAAGAAGAGCTTACAGTCTTTGACTTGGCGAACCCCAGTTACAATAGCACTGAAAGTCACACCTCTTTCCATAAATCTTCCAGGGAGGAGGTTGCCACATATTAAGAAGGTCACTGCTTCATTTTTAAAGAGTCAGAGTTTTTGTGTTACAGAGCTAACCTGATAGTCAGATAAAAAGGACCATTAGCTTCACAGTCATTGAAGAATTTCTTCAGGTGCAGATTATAACCGATTTGATGTATGTGGTCATCAAGACTATCTTGGACTAGCCAATAATGCCCCTTAGCAGGAAGGGGTGCCATTTGATCAACATTGAACTGATAGCGGGGGCCAATGAAAGCACAACAACAAAAACTGCGGATGCTGTAAATCAGGAACAAAAACAAAGTTGCTGGAGAAGCTCAGCAGGTCTGGCAGCATCTGTGAAGGAAAAAACAGAGTTAACGTTTCGGGTCCGGTGACCCTTCCTCAGGACTGATGGTGGCTGGGAAAACTTCAGTTTATAGCGGAAAATAGGGAGGTGGGTGGAGTAGGGAGTAAACAATAGGATAGGGCCCAAAGAGAGAGAAAGACAGTTGGACAGACAAAGGAGTTGCTAACGATCAGGCTGGGAGGGTGAATAGTTGTTAATGGGAACCGTTAGTGACTAACAACAGGGGATGTGTAATGGCAGGCTATGTGGTAACAAGGCCTGGTGTGTGGGGTAGGGGCATGGGACATGGGAGGGTTTAGGCCCTAAAATTATTGAATTCTATATTGAGCCCGGAGGGCTGTAGGGTCCCCAAGCGGAAAATGAGGTGTTGTTCCTCCAGCTTGCGCTGGGCTTCGCTGGAACACTGCAGCAAGCCAGAGACAGAGATGTTGGCCAGGGAGCAGGGTGGTGCGTTGAAGTGACAGGCAACAGGGAGTTCAGGGTCTTTTTTGAGAGCAGAACGTAGATGTTCTGCGAAGCGGTTGCCAAGTCTATGCTTCGTTTCCCATAGTGGGAGTGGAACCAGGCAGTCTGCCAGGGATAGACCAATTGAAATCTATTTTTTAAAAAAAATATTACAATTGCCTACTAGGCCTCTTGTGAACCGACCCCAACCTTGCCTCACCCTCCATATGCAATTAAGCAAAATGACATGGGCAGCTGACGTTCTACTGGGAAAGATCCCCTTTTATTTTTAACTCGCTCTCATTCACTCTCTGCTGCTCATCCCTGCACTGGGTTTGTTTCAGTATGAAGGGAAGAGAGAGAGAGTGTGAGAAACACATGTATGACACCCATTGTGCCCATAATGTAAGTTATCATGCTGTCACATCAGTTTCCATTTGAAATGCCTACCTTAAATATATGCATTAATAAAGAACTCTAATGCAACTCTCAAAATGCATCATTAGAATGTCAAAACAAATGCTTGTACCATCAGAAAGGATGTAAATATTTTAACACTATTATGCCCTGTGTTTTTGAAGTTTATTTGTTACCTTTATCTCTCCAAGCAATAACCATGACTCAGAGTTTAGGCAGATGACGTGCTTCTGGACTACTGCCAGTGCTTTTCAAAATGACTGCAAGGAAGTAAGCTGTATTCCATGAAATTTCTGTTTGAGGGACTTGCTCTTTGTTCCGTAATGCGCTTTATGGGGATTTACAAGTACACGTGAAGCTTCTCACCCCATGCTACAATTGTGCAAGTCATGGGAGTGGCACCAGGCACTTGGTACATAGTTGTTTGCTAAACTTGAGAAATGTTGACAGTATTCACCAGACTTAAAACTTTATGGTGTCATTTTCTTCATCTCAGGCAATGCGCACTCCAACCAGGAATGATGCTGGGATTGAACTTCTTATGGAATATTACAACCAGCTTTACTTCATTGATAACCGTTTCTTCCCACCCAATAAAAACATGGGCATCTTTTTTCACTGGTAAGTATCATGTTCAATGTTTATCACTTTGTAGGATTAGCATGAACGATTGGTAATAATAATAATAGTCTGGTAACATAATCTTGCGCAGCCTTCTTTGATATAATTTTGTATTTAAGCCTGCAGACTGGGTAAGTAAACAACATTCGTTTTATTTCCTGGCTGAGCTAACAGGGTGACCTTTCTTCGAAGAGCAGTAAAATATTTACAAAGACTAGACATGGTGTAGTTTCATTGATCAGTAGAATTCAACAGCAAATGAGCTGTGAGAGAACCTGCCTTTGCATAAACAAAATAATTGGCCAACATCATAATGTGTCATGGTTCTTTTAGTTTCTTGCAATACTCTGCTTACATCACATGAGTCAGAGTTACGTCATGCATAACATTTAAGAGACTGTCATAATGAAAAGAACAGAAAGATTTCAACTTTTTTTTCTTGTTAGGAAAAGTTCACATGTATGTAGCAGTTTACTGCATCTTTCTGTTGCTATGTTATTATCTTAATTGTAAATAAAGTATAACTACAGATTTAATTTGGAAAGTTAAAATTGAGTGTTGGGTTTTTCAAACAATATAGTAAACATCCCATAAACTATTGGTTGAAAACCAATTGTTTGTCCCATGACTAACTGCTCCCTTCATTGCACATACTCAGCTTGCGGTTTTTGATCTGATTTTGAAAGTGCCTTTTTTCTTTTGAAAGCCCAAGTTGTAAATTAAGCATAGTTTGCGATTCTTTCTATTAGACTATTGTAGTCTAAAAATCAATAAGCACTTTCAGTTGATGATCCTTTCAGGAAGGGATGAGTTCCATTGTATTTTAGACAATAAATTTGAAAAGACTGCCATTTATATACCTTTTAAACGTGATTGTGTTTCAGTTTACAGATTTTATTTGTGGAAGTCTCCCACCTCTTGAGTGGTAAGGGAAATGGTGAGAAATTTGGGAGAATACAACCAAAATGGAAAGATTAGATTATTGACATCGAGGAAAATTAAAGTCTAAAGAGTTTTTTTCCTCCTAAAGATTTCAATATCTGGGTCAGAATCTCTATGGTAAATGGTAACTACCTTATTTGCAAACATTAACATATCACTATCTTATAATCTATCTTCACTTATATACAGTGCACTCTTCCATGCACTAGTGAGAAACTAGATGGTATCGGTTCCCAACTTGAAAGACTGAGCAGTTACCTGGCAGATGAAGCTCGCTGTTTGTTTCTTGTGTTCACCTTCGTTCGTTTTATGGGTGGCAACTGTCTCCATGCTTTGTCCACAAAGTCAGTGTCAACAAAACACCCATGTCATTATGGTCAATTTCAGGCTAACTCACAAGTCACTTCACATTACTTTGAAGCTCACTGATGCGTTTCATTGCAATACTCCTGTTACGTCACTCTGTTCAAAATGACACACCCACATCTTGTGAATCTGTATAGGATGCATCTTGGATCTCTTAACTTGCTTTTTTTAAGTGCATTAACTTTGCACTTACTTAGATGCTCACAGCATCTCTGTGTTATCTTAAATTTTAGTGCATTGCAGTATCTCTACCTTGTGTTGCCTTGCCTTTTCGTGCATTACTGTTTCCATGAGAACTTGCAAACTCACAGCATCTCTGCCTTGCCTAGTTTTTTTAATGCAGGCGGAAAGTCAGACAGCTTGTCGCGGGTGCCAGTATTGAATGGTCAAAGGGTGGATATGTTGTATGGCACTATGCTACGTCAATGTTGCAACTGCAGCATATGTCATCAGCTTATGTGGCAAACATGCTGCACGTGTTTCAACCAAATTGCCATGTCTGAAAGTCTAAAGTGAGTAATCTTTCATCAAGTGATCAGTCATGGGTGCTGCCACCCTCAGTTATGGGCATTGTCTGATCTCAGTCCAAAGGGTTGATGATCGTTAGTTGAGTATTTGTGCTATCAAAATAGATCCGTTTCTTTCTAGTCCAAGGATTGGATAACGAGTAGCCCTGCAGATGAAGTCCACCTAGTCTGGAGAGTACAGCTCAGGCACTTGGGAGTCTGTAGAGACATCAGTCAGCAAGGTGCTCAATCTGGGCTGTTCACCAAGGTCAGTCAGGGTCTTGGGCAGTACATGCTAGAGAGCTGTCCATCCTGTGCTGAGGAAGCGTGAAACTAAAGGATGTTAATTGAAACCATTGCACTGGGACACAGAGGACAATGCTCATGAAGGGGGACAACCCCAAACATAAGGTTGAGATCTGATATAGCCGGAGACAAGGCATGTGACATTACAGAAGGGGATGTTTTTGCAAGTCATCCTGGATTTGATGGAGGGAAAACAGTGGATAGTGATACTGAGCATAATTACATGGTAGATGTGGAGTGAGGGGTGAAATGGGGTTATTGATTGTCAAATAAAAGGTACTTGGGGAGCCACAATACTGATGAGGTTGATGGGGACAGTTGTACAAAGGGATTTGTGAAGGGTGAGGGGAAAACTTGACTTTCAAGTGGAGCTGGAACACATGCTCAGCAGTGTGACCATTACATCTTTCACTAAATCTCAACTGCACAATAAAGATGAGATGTAGCTGCCAGCAAACTCATAATGAGCAGAGTGAGTTTGATTTGCTTTGTGTGCAGGGTGCCCTTCAAGGTGCAATTACATTAATCAAGCTTACATAGATTCAAGCAGTCCAGGTTATGCTCAAAAGCAATTGCTGTTTTTGTTAGTTCTTTCTCACCTTCAAGTTGTGAAATAAAAGTTACCACTTTCACTGCTTGTAGATTTTGCAATAACGTTTGTTCCTGGGTTTTTCAAGGGCTACTTTTTGATTTTCAGTGACTAATTTTTGGTTTTACAGGAATCCTCTTTCAGCCTTTCTAACTTCTTCAATAGATGATGTAATCAGATATGTTTGACTCAGCGACTTCTTCATCTGTTTCTCCTCTTCCTCTTAACAACTCATCCTGCTGTACATAGCTTCTGTATGTTCACTTATCCTGGTTCTTTCCATAATGGATACTCACCATTCCTTTGATATCTGAGAATAACTTGTTTGCACAGAAACCTTATCAGCAATTGCCACATGTCACAATAGCCAAAAAGAAATCAATTGATACTTAATCTTGTGTTCAAGTAGTTGATAATTCATTAAATAGAGCAGGTGTGGAGTCCTTTGTACTACTTACTCATGTGGCTAAACACATGCTTTAAGGCAGGGAAATGGCTGGCGTTCCGCAATTGTCATCAAATCAATATTACAAATTCAACAACAACAAAAACAAAGTTGCTGGAAAAGCTCAGCGGGTCTGTCAGCATCTGTGAAGGGAAAAAAAAGAGTTAACGTTTTGGGTCCGGTGACCCTTCCTCAGAACCCTTCCTCTATTACAAGTTGATTGTTGTCCTGACCTACCTGGTCTACATATTTTTGGTAGGTGTTAACAACATGCACACTAATGTCTTTCACAAGATGGAATGGCACACATTGCTAGTCAATGCAATTTTATGCCTATTCAGCATGCCCCCTGTATACCAAGTGAAAGCTTAGTGAGGTGTCAGTGAAGGAATGTGGTAAAGTGACAATATCAACTCAGATCATCAGAGGATCATGTTATTAAATCCCCATATTGAGCAATCATGTAATTGGATATGGGGTATTGCAGAGGTAGTCCTAAATGTAATATATTCATCTACTTTTAGTGGAATTAACATAACCTAGAAAATGCCTAAGGCAGATCCAAACAGAAGCCTTGCTTTTTAGCATTACTGCAGGTTTACAGTTGAATGCTTTCTACTAATCAAATGATTTTATTTAGAAAAAAATCAAATAACTACGGATGCTGGAAATCAGAAGCAAGAACAGAAATTGCTGGAAAAGCTCAGCAGGTCTGGCAGCATGTATGGAGACAAAATAGAGTTGATGTTTCAGGTCCAATGACCCATCTTCAGAACTTTTGATTTATTAATCCAGTTTTTAATGTCTTTTCT